ATCGGCGTTTGGTATCGGGGCATTTTAACGAGTACGAGTTACCGATACCAGTATCGGTATCGGTGCATCCCTACTTTAACCTCAAATGGCCATATGTCAAATGACTATACCTGATGCATACTGTGCACAAAAATGTGGGGCCGAAATCATAATTGCAGTCTTTGAAAGATATCCAGGGTGTTGTTAGAGGCACTTACAAGTGAGTAAATTAAATATCTAAGGTAATCAGAATGTAAAAACAGAGGAAACGTGAATGCACAATTAAATATCCAGTATTGACTGATATTATACATTTTCATTTAAATTTATGCATTTGGCAGACGCTTTTATTCAAAAAGGCTCGCATTTTATCAGTTCTTGCTTTTCCTGGGAATCAAACTCATAACATTGCCATTGCTAGTGCCATGCTCTACTGTTTAGAAAGGCTCATGTATCTTGTATTTTTAAGAAAAAAGTGTTGGTATTAGTGTGTTAGTTTGTGTCTATATGTGAATGGAGGGTTTTTTATTGCTCCATATGGCTGGCCTTTGCTTGTTGTATATTGGAAAGGCGGTAACATAAGGCTGTGAGTCTAAAGAGTGAGACAGGGATAGAGAGACGCATACATTTAAAAAGAGAAACAAATAAAGAGACTTATACTGGCTTTCAAGGAGCTTGCGATGAAACAGACAGACAGGCAGCAGCCACATAAACCAGAGTGAAAGAAGTAGGTCAGAACGATGGAGAAATGGAGAGAGAGAGATTGTCTGGAGAGACTCTGAGCTGGTGAGGAGAGGGAGAATGGAAATGATGGGATGAGTTTCATGCCCTCTTTTGTTTTCATCTCCATTTTCATCTTGGGTTCAGGGAGGAGACGGTGTGATGATGCCACGGGAGGCAAACAGGGGTCAGCTGGCACCTGAAGTGGTGTTGAGTGACACTGATTGTCAGAAGACTCTACTAAATTACGGGAAACACCAGACTCTATGTTATTCATGCTGAAAGATGTGACAGCACCATGCAATTTGATGTACATTTTGAACGTTTGTTCTTTCAGTTTTTCACACACACACACACACACACACACACACACACGCACACACTGGTTTCCATGTTTTATGGGAACATTACATAATGGTTTTTCTACTGTACAAACTGTATTTTCTATGCTCTTACCCTAACCCTACACCTAAACCCCTCATACAAAACTTTCTGCATTTTTAGATTTTCAAAAAAAATTTATTCTGTATGATTTATAAGCTTGTTTCCTCATAAGGGACTGAATAAAGGTCAAAACACAAGGTCAAAATTTACTCTTCTTGTGGGGACATTTGGTCACAATAACATAGGGAATACAAGTACACACACACACACGCACACAAACACATACATGCACTTTAGAAATCAACAAGACTTATGTATGTGATAGATTCATAACATTTTACATCATTTAACTTTCCTTATTTATTTTTATAATTATTAATATTATTTTATAATTTTCTTGATATGTTGGATGGGAAGCCAGCAGTACTTGAACAATCCACTTGTCAAAAATAAATAAATAAGTAACTAAATAAATCAAGGCTTATAATATTTTGAATTTTTAAGTTTCTATGTCAAATTTTTTTCTAATTAGTTTTCATTTGTTTATCACTCATTAGTTTAAAAAAATCATTATTCATTGGCTTATAAAAATGTTATCAGAGATTCATTAGTTTCTATTTTAAATTCAAAGTTATTGCAGCATCTGGTATTATTTAAAAATGTTTAATTGAAAAAAAAATCTGCACAAGATGATTGGCATTTTGATTTTTAATGCAGGTGGGTTGTAAAGGTTTAAAGTTTTATATTATATGCACAATGCATCAGAAAGCAAAACCAAAATTAAAATGTTGCCCTTAATGCCCTGTTATTTTAGTTTTGGTGTTATTCCCAGTTATGTTAGTTTTTGTTTTAATTTCAGTTAACAAAAATATTTTCATCAAGTTTAACTTGTCTCTTTTAGATTTCATTTACATAATATACATTAGTTTCCATAATGAAGGTGCTTCAGACATCACAACAAGCATTTAGTTATGAAAACAAGCTTTAGTGTTAAATGAAGCCCAAAATAAATGAGTCTAAACTGTGTGAAAATACAATATCACAATCACAGACATTTCTCAAAGGACCTTATACGTTGACCAAAAATCAGCAGATAATTTTCTCTGTAACTTTTGCAAAAGGTGTGTGAGAAAAACAAAGATGTGTTTATTTTGGATGGGATAGAAATCACAAAGTTCATTAATTTCCATGAAGCACAAATTTTAAGTGACTTACTCAAAATAATGACCCCTCACAGTATTCGATATTTAACAAGAAGTGTAAGCACTGCTCTGCTTTTTTGAGCTCAGAGATCATGGCACAAAGGATCAAGCTAGCTGTGCAAATTTAGCTCATTAAAAGTAACAGGGTAATCTCCATCTAATGATCACCTCAACATCTGTCAGCAATAGCTCGCATTTGGAAACGCCACCTGCTTCAAAGACCAGGGCCATATGAACGGCAACCACCTGACAAGCACAAGCCTTTTTTCCGTTTCGCTGTTTCCTTTCAGGCTTTTTGCCCATTTTATCATTGAGATCATAAAATGGGCACAGATTGTGTTGTGAAACAATAAGCAGATTTATCAGTTATGAACATGAACTAGATTAAAGGTTGAATTAGCAGAGAAGCGGCCCTGCTCTGCCAATTGAACAGATTTTGAGAGATAGTGACACAATGATTCACTCCAACAAAGAACCTAGAGTGAATCAAATAAAAATAGCAAGTCATTTTTGCACAGCATTTGCTCACCCTCACTCTTGTGTGTTCAGGGTCAATGGCAGCGCTGCTACGCCAGACGGATTGGAGTGTGCTTGTTCTGCATTGTCAGCTGGCTGGTTGTGGTTGTTATTAGAATACAGAACAGCACATCCCTGAAAAGAAAAATTATATAATTTGCTGAAAAATTAACCATTTATTGGTGGGCTTTTCTCAAAAAGTGTTGATACGACTTTGACGTTTTTAATTTAGTTCAGTTGTCTTCCATAAAAGCTTGTATCAAATAAATAACAGTGCCTTTCTTTACTTCATCCTTTTTATATCTGAAAAGTCAAGGATCATGTTAGTTTACTGTGTTTTGAGAATAATGCTGATATTTATTGTACTGTACACAAACATGTGCTTAACTGTCTAATTTCCTTTCTGTCCCTCTCTCCATAGTTGACTCCGGCGCAGCCCTGTCGCGCCCACAGCGCCCCCTCTCGGCCCGGACGGCCCACCATGCCCCGGCCATGAAGGGCTACCAGGTGAGTCGCAGTTTGTCACAACACTCCTCTGGGCCTTGCTACTGCATGCCTGAGGACTGCGACACTGCACGGGACTATATGCACCACCCCGACCACTACCAGGGGCACAATGACCACCCCTACTACCCGCCTGGTGGGCCCCCTGAACCATTGGCCATGGTCCCATCTGGTGGAGGCACTTTCCCTCGGTCACACCCCAGTCAGCCACAGCCCTATGACTCCACCTGTGAAGAGTGTTTATCCTCTGCAGGGCATGGGCATGGTCATGGGGCAAAGATGCACCGTATCCCACCAAACCTTCTGGATCAGTTCGAGAAACAGTTGCCCTTCCATCCAGATGGCTTCCACACCCTGCAGTACCAACGCACAGCCAGTGGGGAACAACGCAGTGAGAGTCCGAGTCGCATAAGGCATCTGGTGAACTCTGTCCAGCGTCTCTTCGCCAAGTCACATTCACTGGAGGCACCCTCTAAACGAGAGTTTAATGGCACCCGTGGGGGAGAGTACCGGGACAGAGATAGAGGGCACCGCAGCGGTGGCGAGGAAAGCGGTGGACATCATTATTCAGGAACGCACCAGTCTCGTTCAGCCCGTCGGAACAAAAGCCGAGAACGAAGCAAGAGTGGAGACTCCCACCACGAGTCTCGAAGCTCCCGCCACCGGAGCAAAACAGCTGGATGGTGGAGTTCCGATGACAACCTAGACAGTGACAGCAGCTTTCTGGTGGGTGCAGGTAGAGGGGGGCGTGGATATCCCACCGGACACGAGACCCTGGATGCTGCCATCCAGGAGCTTACCTTGAGGAAATCTAAGGGGCCACCTCCAGGAGAGTGCCTGGCTTGCACCAACATAGCCAAGGCAGGAGACAGCGGACACTCTCTGAAAAGGAGCACGTGGTCGGCCATGACAGTCAGTCAGGCTAGAGAGGTCTATCCATCTTCCCGTGGAGAAGGAGGTGGAGGTGGATATGAGAAGGCATTGGTTCCTCTAGATCCCAAAATGAAGGAACGATCACTCCACTATCTGCAGGCAAGTTCTACTATCTATCTATCTATCTATCTATCCATCCATCCATCCATCCATCCATCCATCCATTCTGAATGGCATACAACCCCCAGTATGTAAGTGAGACAAACTTTTACAACATGTGAGCCCATTTTCAAGTCAGTGCAGTGACCCCAAATTGGCTCCCACTGAGATTTCAATATTTATGTGGTGTATCTGTTCTCAAATACAATCAGTCTGCTGTCCTTATTGACTTGCAGATTCATTTCATTGTCAAAAGAATTAATCTGTCTGCAGAGATGGGGATCAGCACTAAATTACAATTTCTGAGTGAAAGAAAAAAAATAACTTGATGATTATGTTTGTTATCAGCTGCTAGCTGTGAAGAATTGAGGCTGATGCTATTTCCAGCCTCTGTCAGCTCGGTGTGAAAGGGTGAAAAACATCATTGGAGGATACAGGAAAACAACACATTAACCCTTGGCTTTCACAAAACACACTGTGAACACTCACAAACGCTGCTATTGATATCACCAGCAAGCTGTGTGCTCCATTTCTCCTACTCATCTGCTCAATTGCACACACAACTCTGACATCCTGCTTTGTGATATCAAGTATACAAGAATACAGGATGCTTCTTAGCATCATAATTCAGCATTATTAGTGTCATGTGTGACTGTCTATATGGCAGTGGTTCTCAAACTTTTTTGGTCGCGCCCCCCGTTAAACCTATAAAAAAAAATCGCCCCACACTTTGAGAACCACTGCTATATGGTTTAAAGGGGTCCTATTATGCTTTTTCACTTTTTCAACTTTAGTTAGTCTGTAATGTTGCTGTTTGAGCATAAAAACGATCTGCAAAGTTACAAAGCTCAAAGTCCACTTCAAAAGGAGATATTTTATTTAACAGAAATCACTTTTCAAAAACTACAACGAACTTGAAGCCAATCTTCCAAAACGACAGGTTGTGGAATGTGCCACTTTATGATGTAATAGTGTGGCTAAACACCACCTCCACAGAAGAAGATCAACACCTGCTTCTACAGCACTGCCTGTTTAGCCCCGCCCACAGATTCATGCATGTAGTGTAAATAACGAGAGAGGCAAATGCAGGTATACGCAGAAACCAAACGACAAAGATGGCTCTGAAGACAACAGGACGCTGTACAATGCAAAGTTGTAGAAAACAGTCTTTGCATCGCCTTCCTTCTGATCCCAGCATTAGGAAAGAGTGGATGAACTTTATTTTTAATGAAGTTCCAGACCGCATCAGTAAGAACTTGGTCCTTTGTTCACTTCATTTTACCACGGATTCGTTTACAAACAAAGCACAGTTCGAAACAGGATTTTCATAAAGATTGAAATTAAAAGACGATGCTGTGTCGGCTATATCGGATACGATATTAATGTCGCAACCCAAGTGTGAGTAACTGTTTTTATTACATGTTCACTTTATTACATGTGACTTTTTGTTAAACCTATGAATGAATGAATGAATGAATGAGTACCACAGTACTTTTTGAAAGAGGATGTTTAGTTTTGAAATGATTTCCAATATGTATCCAGCAATATATGCTGTTAAAAACACAACTTCAGAAAACACATGAACGATGACACACACTGACATCTGTAAGTCCTGTTCTAAGATGTACTGTATGTCCTTCTGTTTCCTTGATGAATGAGGAGCACATAGTGTAATTGGACTCAGTTATTGTTTTCCTTTCTGTCTTTCTGTTTCTTCTCACACATATACCGTTAGGCTGTTAGACTCACCCACTGTGAACACATCTAGACATGCTACCACAAATACTTATTTGTGGACACACAAATGGGGGAGGAAACTATATCTGACATGACATCAGGCTAAATGAGGATAATTGTTCTCCTATGCACTCTATCACACCTCCCATCGAGTGTCAGCGTATGGTTATGTTTCTAAGGTAACATGATGGAGCTCTAGGAGCAATGTCTCCAAGATGCTTCAAGAGACCTTTCTGCAAAACTACAGTACTGTTAAAAGTTGTAGGCACTTGTGTGAAAATGCTGTAAAATGAGGATGCTGTCAAAAATAATGTCATTAATAGATTTTATTTATCAATTAACTTATATTAACTAAATTAAATCAACATTTGGTGTGACCATCCTTTGCGTAGCAGTTTTCTCCCTAGGTGCACATAGTTTCTTAGGTAACTTTGCAGGTAGGTCTCTTGAAGCATCCTGGAGATGTTGCCACAGTTCTTCTGGATTTAGTCTGTCTCAGTTTGTTCTGTTTCTTCATGT